AATCGGAGTCACACAGTTAGTAGGTTTACTCTTTATTATCTATAATTCAAATTTAAGTAGTAGGAATTATGTGACATAAGGGAGGGTTAATGGTCCTTTGGCAGTGATAACACACATTTGAATAGGCATGGACCTAAATCCCTGGAACACATAGAGTATTGTAAACCAAAGTTACTTAAATAAAAAAAAGGCAAATCCCCCCAAAATTAAAAAGTAAATATTTGAGTTTATAAAAAACAAGTATGCCCCCTTCTCAGAAAGTTATGGAATTCTCCAGTAAGAGAAACAGAGTTTCACCTGCACCATCATCCATAAAATGATCTGAAATAACCCTTTTGGCTTTTTTTGTAAATGTAAGAGAAGGTGCTTCAGTACAGTTTAACAGTGATTAATGAATTAACTGTATTTTAAAAATTCTGTTTCATAAAAGTTTATTGTAAGACAGCCTTTTTATAAAGAAAATTCTTAAGAAAATATATTTGAGCACCAAAGGCAGTGAGTTTTCTTTCTTTTTAGTTCAAAGATGTAGATATTGCTCCCTGAGCTCATGTCATACAGTATATTATAACTTCAGCACATTTAATTGTGTGATTTGGAAGATCAAGAAAAGATTTCAAAGTACTAATTACTTTGGGGGTTCTAGTAAATGTCCCAAATCTTGTTACTCTGGTTGGGAAGATTTAATATATAGATCCTCCTTTTTTACAATATTTTTCTTTTCCAACTAAAAGTAGCTCATAATTGAACAGTAAGAATTTATAAAACATTTTACATGTTTTTAAGAATATATAATTTAATATTCACTTAGTATTGATATATATATATGATTATAATCGTGTGAAAAACTTAAAAATGTGATTACTTTTATATCTGACTGAGGACTCAACTATCAGAAAGTTAATAAAATATAAGCAAAATATAGCCAAATTATAGGTCCTTTCTATTCAGGAAGAAAAAAAAAATAAACTGCCATGACTTGCATTTAGCTCTACTTTTACATAAAAAATCACTTAAAATTCTGCAATATTTAGCTTTTTTTTTCACTAAAGAAGGGCAATAGGAACAAAGTCTTAGTTATGACAGTTATAGGAATGATTGTTTCTATACTGAGAATTATCTCAGAATAACAGTGTATGCATATGATGTAGTTGCGCATGTGTGTCTGTGAGAGACAGACAGAAAATTAAACCAACAGAGGTGAGGATTTATTTATTTTTTTTTTTTGATGAGCATCTGATATTTAAACACTTTTTAGAATTACCTCCCAGTGCACCAAAATGTATCAATAAGAATACACACATAGTTACTCTCTCTGAGGCTACCATTTTTACCAATCTGTTTTCCAATCTCTCACCTGTTTGGAAGCCTTCTCCCCTCCACGTGGAAGGTGTATTCTCTCTATTGTAATTAAGCCAACAGTCAAAGCTTGTTTCTCACTCTAAATGCTAGGTAACTGTAAATGCTAAGTTATTGTCAGACAAAATGAAGATAGACTTAGTGTTATAAAATTTGTTTTATATTATCAGGATATGTACCTGGCTGATAAAATATTCTATGAAGGATTTTATCTGAGCATACCCTTTAAAAGTAAGAGAAAAAGAAATTCTCCATGTGACCTCACAGAATGAGGAGGGAGGTGATCATAATGGCTCTTTTGGAAGATTAGCCTCAGAGGTGGGAAAGCGACTTTCAGAAGATCCGTATTAATGCAGTTTTTCTGGGAATTAGAACATTTGTTTCCCAGCTGTTGGAGTTTCACTCTGTTACAGCCAAACTTGATCAGCTGAAATGTTGAGTAGTTCAGTAGCTTTTTTTCCTGCTGATTTTGCTGCCAGTTGGACAAAATGTCCTCAATAAAGTAGAAATCCGTAGTAAAATAAAATTGGATGTGAAGAAATTCATTGTCAGCTTTAATTTATAATATATAAACCATAAAAAAACTGTACAATGTATCTGTAATTTCCTGAAAATTACCTTGCTAGATCTGAACTGCTAATGACTTCTCAGTTCAAAATCTGTAGACACAACTGATAGTCGACACACTTTGGAGGTAATATCTATCTGTAGTTGGTAACTGGCCAGCTGATTCTTTTAGTTTCCCTTCAATGCAGCCCCACAATCTGTACCCTTCCCCCACCCCTGAACTTTTCCATTACCCATGACTGAAGAGAGAATAATTGGCAGGGAATTCCAAGGCTGGCAAATCTCTGGGGCCCCTGCAGTATTTGTTAATTATTTTAAATATAACAACTGTCTATATCTTTTTTTCCCTTTATTGTTATTTCTCTATAGATTAACAGAGCCTTGCTAGGGATTTTCAAACACTTAGGGCTGTCTTAGTCACTTAATTTTGAAGTGCTATCTTAATTTTATAAATGACTTAATTTTCATCTTTATTTTTGAATCCTCAAGTAAATAAACAAGTGTGTTGCATTTATTTTTTTAATATATCAGAGATACTGAGCAGAGACATTTAGCATATAATTCATATAAGAATCTTCTGAATGTGCACTGGCTTTGTTCTATAAGTAATTTCCACTCATTGAAACTTCTGGTTAATCTGCTTCCTTTTCTTAATTTGATTTCATTTTGACATCTTGCAGAAAACTCTTGGATAATTTTAACATTTCAAAAGTGCTAAATCAAATCTAAGCCTTAGCCATCTTGTATTAAAAAACTGAGTATCTTGAAAACCCTAGGGAATGCAACTAAGATATATTTGGAGACTTAGAAATATGTAAAGGATGTAGAAGATGAAAATGGACATAGTTAGTGTTTGCTTTTTAAAATACAAGCAAAAGGCCTGCTTGGTGGTGCAGGGGTTAAAGTCTCAGCACTATCACACTATCACCAGCCACTGCAGCATGAGTTCCATCCCAGCCAGGGAGCTGACCCACATGGCACAGCAGACCTATCCTGTCTCACCTGCTGCTCCCTTCACCGGTGTATTTCAGTAGATCTGCCTTTCTGCTGCCTGCTTTTCTGTCTCCGGTGAATCCTCTAACCCCGTCATCTCTTGCCTACAGCCCAGTTCTTGTATGCATAAATAAATAAAATATATCTTTAAAAAATAAAATAGAGGCATAAAACATCACTAGGTCTAATAGCATTGCCAGGATACTATCAGGAATAAACATTTTAAACAGTGAAATCACCACAAAACCTAATAATAAATTAGAAGAGAAAATGAAATAAGATACTAATTGTATTAGAATTCACCATTGGGATTTTCATGATCATCTCTCAGGGATTATTTATTTCAGACTGATTTGTCCTCCTGAAGTCTTATGAACTCTAGTTTCCGGTGCTCATTCATCCTCATGTCCTGTTTTTCTTAACAATTAGTTGGAGCACTCCGTTAATGTGTTCATATTACTTGGTGTGTTCTGCATTCAAAACAGTTAATAAGTCAGAGAGGACAACGGACTGCCTTGCGTGCAATGCTGGAACCACTGTTTTATTTGCTGGCAGTTCTCAGCTTGTGTCAACATATTGAATGCTCATCACTCAAACACCGCTATGAGGCTAATGGCCTTCCGTTGATTTCTGCCCTCTCCTGCCTCCGAGTGTCATTGCAGGTCATTAAATGCTGACTCTGGGAGAGAATGGATGTGATACCAACTCTAGACCAGTGTAATGTACTGTCATTAGAAGTACAAGGCCTGAATGTTTTATTTTTTAGGCAGTGTTTAAGTACAATAACACCTTTACCCACCCCCACCATTTCTGAAAGTTTTTCTCAATAAGGCTGTAACATTAAATATATATTGCAAAATATTTTCAATCCCAACAAGAATAATGTTTAAGCAAATGAACTGCAAGAAAACAGTAAAACTATGCTTTGATTTCTTAGAGTAGCTAACTTTAGGCTAATTAAAGTAATTTGACTTCATTTCCCATAATTTAAAGCCTGTTTTCCAAGGTCAAACCTAACCTGCAATCAGAGAATCTGAGTAGTGAAAGCTACAGCCCACAGGTTGGGGGTAAAGAATTGTGACAGACAGAATTCTATGGCATTTTAAAGTTGACAGCAGAGATCAGAGGTGAACTGAAAAAGTTAAGGCCAAATAAGACAGCGTGACCATTTTTGCAGACAGTCTGTTTAATCTTGGCATACATGGTTGATAGTAAAAATGGATGGGTATACAGTAAAATAATAGGAATAACATTCCTGGTGGGGCTAGCTAAATCCTATACCCTATACTATCCCTTTTAATAGATGGCTTTATTATGACCTAATATGATCCTGCCTATTTGCAGATGTTTATTTGGAGTTTATGACTCATTTGAGATGTCTGTGTAAAAAGAGAGAAGCTACTGGTTTATGGGTTGGAATTTGCCACAATATGCCCTGTAAAACCAGAAAGTATTCAGTAATTTTTTAGAAAGTACTCTAGAAATCTATTCTGACACTTAAAAAAATGCTATATTAATAAATCATTTGTCACTAAAATTATGCTCATTCTGATCTCTGTTAACTTTCAGTTTTAATATATATGCTCTCAGGCATATGTACAATAAAAATAAATCTACCTTAAATTCTCCATTTTATATCATCTTCATGATAGTTTTGTAAATTGTTGTCTCTAGATGAATTTCAAAATGAAATTTCTTTATGACTTGTACCTCTTTCAGCAGTTCGAAGTTTTAGCTTTCTTTACTATATATCCCTGAAATTTCTGTAACTACTTTTTACTTGATGTATGCTCTTCAGTTTATAGAATCTGTCAGAATTATGACTTCCCTTATGAAAAATTTCCTTAAAACATTGTATTTAAAAGTTTGCCTTTGAATCAGTGTGATAAATACCACTAACTAACTAATAACTAAATTGACTATTAGGGAACAGTTTATAAATTGAGGTATTAATCTAGAAAACAGGTTTGCCACAATGATTCAATTGGAGAAACATACTTGGTAGAGTGTTTCTTGTTTCGGGTGGTTGTTTAACCATAACTCTTAGTGGCCATATCACCAATACATGGGCATCTTTCTTTCAGGCCAAAAGGTGTGCTTTGCTGACCTCAAGCATCCCTGCTACAAAATGGCCTATTTCCACGAACTGTCCAGCAGAGTGAGCTTTCAGGAGGCGCGCCTGGCTTGTGAGAGTGAAGGCGGCGCTCTGCTCAGCCTTGAGAACGAAGCAGAACAGAAGTTGATAGAAAGCATGTTGCAAAACTTGACAAAACCAGGAACAGGGATTTCTGATGGTGATTTCTGGATAGGGCTTTGGAGAAATGGAGAGGGACAAACTTCCGGTGCCTGCCCAGATCTGTACCAGTGGTCTGATGGAAGCAGTTCCCAGTACCGGTGAGTATGGATGCTGAGGAGCTAGTGGTTTTTTTGTTTGTTTGTTTGTTTGTTTGTTTTTGTTTATTTTTTGGGGGGTGGCAATGATGGTCAAGGTCTTTACCTGTAGAAGATGTTGGAATAGAATGGGAAAAATCACTTAGAAGTGCTCCCATTTCTTTCTGCTGGTAGAAACTGGTATACAGATGAACCTTCCTGTGGAAGTGAGAAGTGTGTGGTGATGTATCATCAACCAACAGCCAACCCTGGCCTCGGAGGTCCCTACCTTTACCAGTGGAATGACGACAGGTGCAACATGAAGCACAATTACATCTGCAAGTATGAACCAGGTAGGATACATTGCACGTCAGTGTAGCAGATTTTATGAGTATTTGCTTATCTTCGGTTTTACTAACTTCCTTTGACTCTTTTATTTCTGCTATGAAATATGCAATTCCTTTATAGTTTGTCATGTCACACTGGTCTATACAACAAACTGCTAATTGAGTTAAATAAAAGGGCATTAATGAAATATCTGGAGAGGTGTCTTTAAGAAAAAATAAAAATTTCTAATTTCAATGTCAACTTATGCTTTTATAAACAGACTTTATGGATAATAAATGTGTATTTAAAATATGTTAACATTTAATATCTATATAAATCATCCAAGTGCCTATAGATTTATGCAACTGAGCAATGTTTTAGGTGATTATCTGGTAGATTTTAGAGAACAAAACCATTTATTTCAGAGATATGAGCTTCTAAGTGAAGGTCAGACTAGACATAGCTCAGTGGCCATAGTAAAAATCAAATATGGGTGGGTATATGTTCTTCCTATACTCCTCATTCTTTGAAATATGCCTCAAGTAACTTTTGTTTGAAGTCTTAAATTGATTACCACTTGGAGAGTATGGAAAGATGGCATTCATTTAAGTTACACTACCGTAAGTTCCTGTTGAAAATAGTACATTTAAATAACTTTGAAAGACTGTGCAACTGAATTAATATTTGATACAAAGAGAGACTAATCACACCTGTAAACTAATTTTTAAAGTCATTTAGGAAAGTCAAAATAGGTATTAGGCTACTTTGAAAAATAAGTTATTTTTTCAAATAACTTGTTTTTCTCCTCCTCAAGTATCATTTTAACACTTCCAAGGAGCTGTCTGCTTGACTTCATAACATGTATTCACAGAGGCAATTATAATTGAGTGCTGCTCTTTCTATTGTACTCTTAAAATTACATGACTTTTTCTCATGAGACTGTTAAGCACAAAGGATTATTTGGATTAGAATTACCGTTCTCTTATATTTATCCTGCTCTTGAGACTATTAGACAACTTGTATATCCCTGGTGAACTTTTTTTTTTAAATCCATTGGTTGCTAAATCCATCATTACCTTCTTAGATGTCTTTGCAAAGTTAAATGTATTCTGCTCTTTTTTATATTCTTTGTCTTTATTTTGTTTTTTGGAAAACAAAGTTGAAATTTTCTGATATTTTAAATTTGCTGAGATTGTGTACTTTAAAATATTAAAAGAATCAAAGCATGTTGTATTCTTAATACACTATTGTTTTCTTTCTTCAAACTTACTGGTTGTCTATCTCTCTCTCTTTCTATCTATTCATCTATCATCTATCTGTCTATCTGTCCATCAATAATCTATTGATCATCTTCTATATCTGTCTATCATCTTTCTACTTAGCAATCATTCTTAACCACATTTGCATTATTCAGGATGCTGTCCATCCTAGAATCTTGGTTATGTTAATCAATGAGAATTATTAAGACAAAATTATTTTTTCATTAGCTTCTGTATTTTGCCTAAATTTTGAAATGGACTATTCTTTGTGAATGTAATTCTTTTTTGTATGAATTGTTATTGAAGAATATACATAGATTTAGAATTGATCTGATGTGCTTAGAATGTAATTTTACTTTAAATAGCTTCATTTTGAACGGGGTAACTATTTTCTGATTAGCTGAAATTCATTTAACACAGGTGCTTTTGTGAAGGATGTTGATTGATTCCTTTTCTTATTTATGTAACCACCACTTCTTAGTAGTAAGCAGTTAGCTTTTAGTGTTGAGGTCATCAGCAGATTAAACAGTAGGACTAAATAACATTTACAAACTCTAATGCTACTTATTTTGAGCTTTTTTACCAGCTCTACTAAAACTACACTGTGATTAGACTCCATCTATACAGAAAATGAGTAATTCACTAGCGAGTTTTCTTACTTTCTTCTCCACCATTTTGCAACTGTCATGCATCTGTAGGGTTGCAGATCTGTTCTTTGTTTTAATGTGAAAATAACACTTCCAAACATTGAGTAGAAGAAAATCAATCTAAAAAAACTTTAAAGCCTACCATCTACTCTGGCTTTCTTAAGCGATTTTTTTAAACGAATTATATAGTTTTGATTAGTCTCTTTTGATCAAATAGCACATTAATTCAGTCAAATTGTCTTATGCGTATTTACCATTTTCAACAGGGAATCACAATAGTATAGCTCAAGTCATACAATACAGTCTTCAGACATTTTTGTGGCATTAATTCTGAAACTAATTTTGTGTTTATTAATATTGCATTATACATGTTTTGTTCTTGGGTATTAAATACAGCATGCATAGGATTCTATTTTCAAAATTGTTAGTCATGGCATTAATTGAAAAATTATAAAAGTGTTTAAAAATAACCAGTTTTGTGTTGATAAATTGCATAAAATACGTATTAGTTGTTCAGCAAATACCAGTTGAGAAATTTCAGTCATAGAGTGTGTAAGAAGGATTCTTCCATAGTAGAATAAGTATAGGGAAAGGCTGTATGTGAAACATAGAGGGGGCAAAGTGTTAAGTGAATTTGTCTAATATGCTTCATGTGCCTTTTCTTTTTTATCAATTGACAAAAGTACTAATCATATTTTTAGAAGTAATGAAAGCAAATTTATGGGATATTTTTATTAATTCTATTACACTGAATCTTAATTTAGTGAATAATATTCTAGGAAAAAAAATTAAGCAACCCAGCTGTACCAGAACATGGTAATACATTTCATTATTTTAAGTGTGTAGTGACTGAAGAGCTCTTGTCTCGTTAAACCAAAGAAACAACCCCAAAATCTTAATTTATTATTATTATTTTTGAAGTAGACACTATTGGGAGGCAAATCTCAGAGTGGTGGTATTTAAACAGGACAGAAATGTGCTTTAGAACATTGTTACTGGAATCGCCAATTCCAGATGCAATCCATGCACAGCTGTCTGCTGATTGATGAGGGGAAAATCCTCAATATTATTCTGATTATTAAAGTACTTCTGCCTGTCTTTGAATTACAATTATTTTCTCACATTCTTACGCACAAAAAATCCTTGTGGTTTTGGCCTATCTTTATATGGGCTTTATCATTATTCCAGTAAACTGTTAGCATAGTCATGCCAATAATTGCTGTTCTATAATATTTATTTCCATTCACTTTTATATATCTCTTGCTACCTGATATTTGTATATTTTTCTTTACAGAGATTTTTCCAACAGTTCCTGTTACAAATCAACCAGGGGACACCCATCAAAATGTGGTTGTCACTGAAGCAGGTAATTAGTTAGCCTGACTCCTCAAGGAGGGACAGAAACTGAACTTTTAAACTGCTGTACATTGACCTCAACTTTTCGCGTTGTATGGTACACTAAATATGGTGCTATGGAAATTTACTTTTAAACTAGATTAGAACAAGTGACAATAAGCTAATTTTTGAATCAAAGGAACTTCTTTTTCTCCAGTTGCATTGTCCTGGAAATTCCTTTTAAAACCTGAACTCCCAAGGCATTTCTCTAGCATTAGGAACTGTGATGTAAATAGGCACGTTCAGGGACCAGTAGTGGTGCCATGGTGAATGTCTAGTGTTGGTCTAGGAGGGGTGTGGCTATAAAGTGAACAGCTTGCTATGCAGCCTTCACACATTTGCATGGTGTAAATCTTTCCACCCTGGCCAAATTCATGCTACTGTCATGTAATAGCACCTTGGGAACAATGCACGCCTTACCCAAATGTCTCTACCACACAACTGTCTGCTAAAGAAACAAAATTTACTCAGTGCAAATTCCAAGTCAGTCAGAAGCTGCTTTTAGGCTTATTTTGGTTGGCTTCATGCCAATAAACAGAAATGTCAGTTTATCTTAGTTGCTTTGTTCTGACAGAACCCAAAGCCCATGTTTCAAAATCTTTGCAAAATCTACCAGAGTAAAAAAAATTCTTTTTCTTTCCTATTATATATATAGGATCATGATGGTATTTTGGAAAGAAAAGGAAACATTTCCTGAACATTTAAATGGTTGCAGTCACTCCTTGGAGGTTCAAGAGTAGGTGAAAACAGCAAACTCTTCCCCAAATGTCCTGCCACTGAGCCTCAGTTAAAGCTCCTACAGCCAAAGAAAGTGACATGCAGTTTAATGACAGTTTGAGCTAAGTCTGGGCTACTTTGTCCAGAATTGTTTATATTGGTTATAATGATAGATTTCAATTTGCTAACTAAATGCTTAGTTTTTTTTTAATTTGCTTTTCTTGTATGAACATGATACTGAATCTTAAGGCTTTTAATTTTGTAGTCTGATTTTTAAAATTATGCAAAATATCTAAAGCTAATTAAAGATATTAGATAATTACACTAAGAATATTTTCCCTTTTATGACATTTAAAAATACTTAATAAAGTTTAGGGGGCTTACCAAGAAAAGCAAAGATTATCAAGTATGATGGAACAGGATTAGAAAATGATTCTTTTTAGAATTCAATTACTATCAAGCCTTCATGCCTGTGGAGTTTTTTTCTTTGCATTATGACTTATCATCAGATAATGTTTATCTATTTTGGATTAATATCAGAGTCTTGCATGTAACCCTGCCACGGAGCTTACTGGTTATGATAATACATTTCCAGTAAATTGACAATTATTTTAATAATGATCATTATTCTTTAATAATCAGTGCTTAGTTCTCTAGGTGGTAACTAAGAAGGAGTGAAATAGCTAAGATTAACAATACATTAAGAAAACATGTCACTTGAATTAAAGATATAATAATGGACATTAATGTGAAACATTGCAACTAATGCAAGATAATTTTCTTTTTATTTTTTACCAGATATGAATATATACTTCACTAGATTATTCAGCATTTTGGGAAGAACTTTTTTTGGAATCTATTTATTGATAATAATTCTATCCTACTTTAAAATTTTACAACCCTTTTATAAAATTGTGATGTTAGTCACTTACCTCAACTATGTTTTTATACTAAAACTGCTTAATTTTGTAGGCATAATTCCCAATCTAATTTATGTTGTTATACCAACGATTCCACTGCTGCTATTGATATTGGTAGCTTTTGGAACCTGCTGTTTCCAGATGCTGCATAAAAGGTAATTACTATGCTGTCTCTTTTTTTTTATTAAGTATGGGCATTCACCTTAAACCTTCAATCTTGATCTCAAGTTGTATGCAAGATTTAATTGTTGTAGCTACTCTTTGAGAACCTTTCCAAAATGTCAAGTTGTAGGCTTATCTTTTATTTCAAACTAATAGTTTAAATCCAGGAAATAAAGCACAACAGTAAATATCAGTCAGTTTTTAGTAGGCATCTTGAAATAAAATTAAATTTCTTAACCAGATGTTTGAGCTTTCCATTTCATGATTGTTTGAGCATATCTTTGAGTTACAGGTGAGATTTTATTTCCATTTGTGTCAATTTGTCCATTAAGTTAAAAGATTAATGAATATAAATTTGTCTTAGAGGAAAAGAGGAAAGATGTTGGCTTTAAATAAGAACACATTTCCTAGAATAAACTAGACAACTTTTTCAGAGTTTTCTGAATAAAAATCGATCAAGCGAATGTCTCCATCAACAAAGAGACTGCAAATGAAGGCATATTTCTTTTTTGACTTTACCTCATCTTTTAAATAAACTCTAAAGAATCCACTAGTAACACAAATCCCCCGCCCCCACCTAATGGTGAACATTCTAAATGCTTCACATGCATTTTTAAAAGGATCCAGTCTAAATTCAGTCATTGTATAAATGAGGTATTTTGAGTGATGACAAGTAAAACTTAGTAATACTAAGCAAAATTAATAATAAGTAAAATTAACACTATATTTTGTGTACTCTTGGCTTTCAATATTTATGTGAAACATATTAAGATTGTTTTTCAATGTCTAGTTTCCTGCTATAATTATTCCTCCCACCTTTTTCTGTAGAGGTGGCATTAGTTTACAACATGGTATCGGCTGCACGTTGAGTTTCTTACTCCAGCTACTACCTCTTTCGCACCATCACCACCACCAAATGCCCAGTCATCATCCACCTCCATGCTATTCCATTCTCTTTCTTCCTGTCTGGTAACCACTTTGCAATTATCAGAATCTGAGAGTTTTTGTTGTGTCCTGCCTTAACTAATAAGACAATAGGTAGAAAGATGAATTACCACTGTGAAATCTATAAAGTACAGAGACAATTTGATATAAATACTGCTTAGTCCAGCTCAACCATTAAGAGCTGCTAATGACAAATCAGCATGAAAAAGTTATGTAAAGAAATTACATAGACCTTCACATCTTTTAAATAAAAATAATGAAGTATCATTAACTAAGTTTTTTTCTGAAGTTTGTTTTCCTTCTTCCAAATAGTGTATTGTCATGGAGAGTAAAATTCTTCCAGACTTTTACACCTTGAAGATCTATGGCATTTCACTTGTTAGAAATTCTCAGAGGGCCCTCCTTGGTGGCACAATAGGTTAAGTGTAGCACTATGAAGCTATCGCTTGCTGCTCCCTCAGCAGTGTATTTAGTCAATCCACATGTTCTGCTCCCCACTCTGTCGCTGGTGAATCCTCTCAAAGCACCTGTACCTCTGGCCTGTACCCCAGTTCTGTCTGCATAATTAAATAAAATCTAAAAAAAATTTCTCAGAGAAAATAACCAAAATAGAGTTCCTGCAACTGCCAGACTAGTTTTGAGCTTCATTCATTCATTCTTAGATCCTTCCATTTTCCTTTCTTCCAGGAAAGCAAGGAGAAACTTCATCAAAGACTCAACTCCATTATCATCTGAATGCCTTGCAGAAAGTTTAAATTCCAATCTGGTACACATGATGGTTTCTGTCATTCCATGTCATGTTCAATATAATAACTCTCGTTTCCTTAGCTAGTAGTAACTCAAAATACTAACACTACACAAAGTCACATTAATAACTTAACCACCTTTTTTCCTACCATTTAAAAAACTGTTAACATTTTTCATAAACTTTGCTTGACTTATTTTCCAATGGTGTTAGATGACTTCATGGATAAAGAATCCTTTGAACCATTTAGATGCACATCTCCAAAATGTAATTTAGATATTTTATTAGTAACAAGTTCTCATTAAATTGAAGTATTATTATAAAACTGTATTGCTTAGGCTTGTTTAGGTAACGTTCTTTCTTAGAATTTCATCATTGTCTGGTAAATGGTGTGTGATTGGAAAGAGGTAGAAAGAGAATGCCTGTATGCTCTAGAACAGATATTTTTGGAAGAGAGGAAGGAAGTTCAGAACAAAATTAACATGGACAGAAATTTGGCTAGTCGTCTAGGTGAGGGCACATTCTTAAGAAACCAGACCAATAAGAGTCTAGACCTTTGATAGGCAATCTGGTAGCTGATGACTTGGGTTAACTCAGTAACAGGAACTGTGTGGGAGTTTGAGAAGTATCCACTTTATGGAAAATAGGTAGAATAAGCTCAGTCTGAGGCACAGACTGGATATATACACACAGATTCTCAATCTGACGAGGACAATGTTCTATCTCACATCAGATGAACTCAGATGCTCAAATTATCAAGGCCGGAATCTCTTTCAACTACACTGATTTCAGAAACTGACACAAAATCAGACTTCTGGGGACTAAGTGGCTTAATTATATGACAGGAAAGACCAATGGGAAGAGAGCCCTTGGGCTTAAGACAAAAGCATTATTTTCATGATTTAGCATTAAATGCATCATAGGTTAATGAAAAGAATGTTCAAAATACAAAAATCTCAAAATCCATTCATTGATAAAAATTTATTTGGGGTGATAATGAAAAAGTTCTGTGTTGTTTCAGGTGTGTGTGTGTGTTGTCTAAACTATGAAGTGCCAAATAGATAAAGATCTACTTAATTTTTTTCATTATTTTATGTGAATTATTTGACATCTTCAGCTACAAGATTAATATAGAATTTTTTTGTAGGAATAAAAGTTATGCTGGTGAGTAAAGGACCCTTTGGTAACAAGGGTCTGGAGAGATAACCTTTGGACAAAGACAGGTCTAGACTGATAAGATGTCTCATACATTCAACTTCTTATGTTTTTCAGTAAAGGAAGAACCAAAACTAGTCCAAACCAGTCCACACTGTGGATTTCAAAAAGCACCAGAAAAGAAAGTGGCATGGAAGTATAGTAATTCATTAACTTGGCTCCAGAAAAGAAAACAGAAATTTATAATTCTGGATCTGTATAAGGAATGGCATCAGAATATTAGCTTGGAATGGCTTGAAATCTCAAAGAATCTGCAAGATGAACTGTAAGCTCCCCCTTGAGGCAGATACTAAAATAATTTTTATATGTTTATTTCATTAACAAAATATGCTGTGCTAATAATGGAGTGAGACATGCTTATTTTGCTAAAGGATGCACCCAGACTTCAAATAAATAGAATGGACCACATAGATAAAATTGCTATCAACACATCAGAAATATGTGTGTTGGAAGCAGTTATTTTTGTTTCTCTTTTCATAGGTTGTAACCAAGTTAAAGTAATGTAAATTGTATTGAAATTTACAGTGCAAAAAATTTTACCTTTACATAAGTGTTTGATAAAAATGGACTGTACTAATATTTATTTTTATGGTGGTTCATTTTTCAATACATGCGGTTTTGATTAAAGGGATTTATCACTGTTGTCAACTGAATTTTCACACACATACAAAATATAATATCATAAAAAGTTTCTTTTCTAGAAATGGTTCATCTTCTTTCAATTCTCTGCATTTGGTCAGACAATGTTTAGGAAATCTCTTCAGAAATAAGAAGCTATTTCATTAACTGTGCTATAAATCTACTTAAATATTTTCCATAAAGGCAAGGATTGTTCTAATTTCAATTGTGCAAGACATGTGCCTTACAATTTATTTTTAGTTTTAATTTCAACAGATTTTGTAATAACTTTATTAAAAGCTATAGAAACAAAAATACAATCAATCTAGAACAAAAAAAGTGGCATTTACAATGTAAATCATATGTCTTCACATGTTGCCTATTTAACCACAAGTAGCTCTCTGAAGGTTCCGGAACCAATTTGGCTCCTCAGATGACCCAAAACAAAGAAGGTGTTTGTTGACTGGGATTGACACCGGTGACATATAAATAATTACAGAATATTCTGAAGGTTCTTCCTAGCTATTTAGGCTCTTATTCTAGAAAAGGATTTACAGCGGGGGCCGGTCACTGGTCACCAGCAGTGTGGAGGTAAGCACAGCTCATTGTCATTTCTACAAGGAAAGAAACTATGAATCATGTGAAAATGGGTTAGAAGGTATCAATGATTCTGTGTTATTGAGGGTATGACTGGAAGAATAAATTGGGTCTCTTCAGTCTTATCTTCTAGTTTCACCAATGCTTGTGGCTCCTTCTGCTCCAGAGAGAATTGTAACTGGTCTACAAATGTCCTTATGCTCCTTTTAACCAAATAAAAGTTCTTGTTTCTGAAGACCTATTGGTGTTGTCTACATCTCTTAAGTGACTGAGGTACAGGTATGCTTGCATGACTAAATGAAGATGAGAACAAATTACTGAATGGAAGTAGTGATTTGAACCTCATCTTTTCCTTATCAATCCTCTTCCTTTAGATAATAATGAACTTTCACTAAGGCAGTTCACAACTGGGGATGGTTGGCAAAAATAAGAGGCAAAGTAGAAATTAGTGGAACTGGCCCCCTTTCAGCTGCTTGGAGACTGAAGGAATGGGCAGCTGTATTCTAAGCTTGGATTCTGCCCGAATTTAGTGCTGGCTTTCTTTTCTTGGAAACTCATCTTTCTGAGCAGAACGGGAGACCAGCTGGGATCCACTTCTTCCCTACTAGCTTCTGCTTGTGTTTCTTCCTTTAGTCAAGAATTGGTAGAAGAGAAATGAGTGTTCACCCTTTGTACCTCCACGTAGCTGTGAGGAAGAAGAGGCAAAGAAGTGGGGAAAGGCTTGCCTTTCGCCTTTTATCTTGATTTACCCAGACTGGGATAACTCACCTGGTATCCAATTCTGGAGAAGAAAGTTAGTAGACCATGTAGAAAGTCGTGGGACGCCATCAGTGAAAAGCAGGCTCTGACAATTATAAACATCAGGACTTGGTGACAAGCAGAACCCTTGAAAAGCAGGAAATAGGATGGGCTCTGACAATTGTGCAAAATAGGACCCACTGAAAAACAAAAAAGCAAAGAAAAAATTTTCAAAATAGCAGAAAGATGGGTGGGGAGAGCTGGACTAATAACCACAAAGGCCATCAGGTGTTGACTAACCAGAAGACAACCTCCTCACCCCAAGCCACCTGAAAAAAAATATAAAAAGCTTAAGCAGAGACCCTTGCTCAAAGGCTACCCACTCGCAACTCCTCCCCAGACCCCCAATTCAAGAGCTTTCCCTGTCCTTCTCCTTGTCTGACAACAAACTTCATTGCTTTTCTTCCTAACTCTGGTCTTGATGTTGAATTCTTTTCTTGATGAGATAAGAACTGCAGCCCAGCTAATGACTAAGCCTGAGTTACTAGGGGTGAGGCAGCAAACTTCCCTTTTACTAGAAAATGATTGTGAGGCTTTCCTAAGGACTTTTAAAAATGTTAACTCACTTTTAAAAATGAAAAGAGTACATGGCCCTCCCTGGTGACGCAGTGGGTTAAAGCACTGCACTAAGAAGCTGAAACCACTTCTGCATGGGTTCGATCCCCGCCTGCCCCGGAGGTGACCACATGGCACAGCAGACCTCTCCTGACCCTCCCGCTGCTCCCCTCAGCAGTGGACTTCGTTGATCTGCCTGTTCTGCTCCCCACTCTGGCTCTGGTGAAGTCTTTCGCCACCCTTGAGTCTCTGGCCTATACCCCAGTTCTGTATGCACAAATAAATAAATCTTTAAAAGAAATTAAATTAAAAAATTGAAAAGAGTACAGGTGTAGCTTGATGGGGCTATTTGTGTTTTCATAAAATGCTTCCAATGTGTTTTGAAATGCAGGTGAGTTGTAGAACAATATTCAGATAGAGAATTTATAGCTCTTTAGTAGGAATAATTGCTACTTCTCAATCATTTCGTCACTCTTTGTTTCTAAGATGCTTTCCCTTTTTCTGACTATTTCCAGGAGAAGCTTTTGGTATGAAAACACATGTATCTGTACTGTCCCCTCTTTGAACTATGGGGTCATTCCCACATGCACAAATGTCCCCAATGCCCTCCATAATACATCTGTAATCATTATTCCTTCCAGGTTAGCACAAATTTTGCTTTTCCCAGAAGACCAATTTTCACTGATTGTTTCCTTCTCTCAACTCCTTTTAACTTTATGCTCTCCTTCATGCAAGAAGGCATATGTGTGTATCTGTGTGTGTAATATTAGGGATGTATTTTGTCTTCCCCCAAATGAACAGATTTTGTGTGGTAAGCTAAATTGAACTTTGTACTTATTCTGGAAGTGATCCAGAACATTAAAGCAGTGAAACCAATTCATTTAGTCCACATTTTAGCCTTCTAATGGGCAATTCAGCTGTATCTAAATAAGTTTTGCACATGTTAGAAACAGCCACTGTAACGCATAAACCAGGAAAAAGAAAACACTTCTAATATTTGCATGTCTTTCACATGTCTGATTAATTTTTGAAAATTAAAAATATACAAGCTTGAAATAAATGGATATTATGCTTAACCCAAATAAAAAAACAACTCAATGATAGACTGTCCAAATTAGTAAATTAATCTTTTATTTTTAAAATGCTAATGCAATATATAGACATGTGTTAGCTTATTAGAGAGAAATGTGCAGTCAACTTAGTCCAGGTTTGTGATATGATGTTACAATAAATATTTTTTACAAGTAGGAAAAATATTAAGGATTTGCTCAAGCTGATTTGGAAATACATTTATATAGAAAAGCAGGAGGACAACTGAGATTCTAATAATAGCAATAATCGCTATAACTAGATAACTTACAGCAGTTTATTTTAAACAATTACATACTGCAAACTGTTCATTGCACTTTTCCCCCTAATTTTACATAAACTTTTAATATTATACTAAAAGTATAGTATATCCTTTCACAGAACATTTCTTTAAGAGAAAATGTGGTAATAATGATTAAGAGCAAAGAAAATGATATATGTGAAAGAAGAACTGTTCACAGTACTGTCAATGTGTGTTATTTTAAACTTATTTTCTATCATCAAGATCAATTTGAATTTATCTGCCCCTAGATTTCAGTAACTTGGAGCAGAATAAAGGCATTTAGAACCACTTTTGACAAAACTCTCAATTTCCATGCTCCTTAGAGAAGACTGGGAAGGCTGCCTGATTTTCACACTTTTGGGTTGGGGAATGCACTAATGCAGAAAACTCTGAATCCATTCCACAAATCTTGGGACCCGGGCATAGACCCCCGGGCGATTAGGGAGCCCACACTTGTATCCAAAGGATGTCACACCCGCCAGGAACCACCTGTTGTCCTCCAGGCACATTAATGGTCCTCCAGAATCACCCTAAAGAATAAATTGCAAAAGACAATTGTGAACATGTGGTTAACTGATATAAATATATTCAGCAAATCAATTCAAAACCAAAACCCAAAACTTGGGTTTAACTGTGGTTCATCTATAAACATTCTCACCATCAGTCTCAGTCAAAAATGAAAGCCCTGAGTTGCTCAGTTGGAAGAAACTATAACTAAATCATAACTATATGTTTTTTTATGATGCACTTTTATTGCTAGGTTTTCCTCACTTTAAAAATGGCATTTTAGGCTCTCCCTGGTGGCGCAGCGGGTTAAAGCACTGCACTAAGAAGCTAAAGCCACTGCAGCATGAGTTCGATTCCCGCCTGCCCCGGAGGTGACCACATGGCGCCGCAGACCTCTCCTGACCTGCCCGCTGCTTCCCTCAGCAGTGTACTTCGTCGATCTGCCTGTTCTGCTCCCCGCTCTGTCTCCCTGCTCTGTCTCTCGACACCCCTGAGTCTCTGGCTTGTACCCCAGTATGCACAAATAAATACATCTTTAAAAAAAAATGGCATTTTAAAATTGGGACTAAGAAATTCTCTATAGTACAACTATGAAAAATGTCCTAAGCAAATACATATTAAAAGCTGATAATTTTATTAAAGGAGATATAGTCTAATCACTATGAAGGACTTTGTGGGAAAGACAATTACTCTAAATTATGGACTTTAGAAAAATTAAAAAACTTACACTTAAAGTTGATTTTAGTTTTCTTGGATAGCACTTTTTGGTGTTAGACAAACACAATCTGACAAAACCTAGCATTTCAGCAGAAATAGGAGATATTTGATATAATTTTTCATGATAGGCACACCTGTTTTCATCTGAGAGTTCAACTGATGAAGAAATGTTTATTTTTTATAAATATTAACTATAGCAGACCTTAGTAGAATTAATTACATAGACTTTACTTGCATGTGACATTTTCATGTGACATAAATAAACATGATGCAAACATGTAGCACTATTATTTCACAATGGAGAATTGACAAGTATTTCCCCTATATTAATTGTGTAATTTTTAAAAGAAAATCTTTTTTAATGTTTATGAAGAAATTTATAACCTTGTATACCTTGAAATCACTGTAGAGTGTATAATATTTCTTTCTTTCTTTTTTTAAAGATTTATTTATGTGCATACAGAACTGGGGTACAGGCCAGAAGCTCAGGGACAGCGAGAGGCTTCACCAGAGACAGAGTGGGGAGCAGAACAGGCAGATTGATTAAGTACACTGCTGAGGGGAGCAGTGGGCGGGTCAGGAAAGGTCTGCCATGCCTGGTGGTTACCTCCAGGCAGGCGGGAATTGAACTCATGAGGAAGTGGCTTTAGCTTCTTAGTGCAGTGCTTTAACCCGCTGCACCACCAGGGAGGGCCTATAATATTTCAAACCAAGCTTGTGTTATAAAATACTCTGACTTTTTACTATTTCTTCATTAACTTTGCACCAGATAGTGGGAAAAAGGTGATCTATAAAAGCACTTTTTCCTGTCTTGGAGCAGAGGAGCATAAATTGCATTGGTAACCAAAGGTTACTTTTATTCTAGATGTAACGATATATATGAGTTGCTTGAAAGTAGGGACTATGATTTTAATTCAGCATTCTAAGCTGTCAGTTGATAATACTGACTTAGAAATATTTATGGAACAGTGTGAAACCAAGATATGACTAAATATAGCTCCACATTATATGTGACAGAAATTATGAAATTGTCAAAATAAATATCCATTGTTTGAATGATTTTAAAAGGATTCATTTGGTTTTCTTTATAATTTAAATTCAATTTAAATTCTAAAATTCAATTCAATTCTGAAATAATTTATTTTAAAAAATAAAGAGTAGAATACAGACATGTGATAGCATGAGCAACGATTTTACTCACCCAGCACATGCTGGGTCAGTTGTGATTATTCAAAGATTTCACCAGCAGGCTTGATGCCGAATTGCTGGTCTATCTGCCTAGAGACCTGTGGCTGGTGCGATCACTTCCCATTGTCTCACCACTTCAATTGAGTTTTGTGACTTCTTTTTGTCTTGATATTCTGATGTGTTCAATGAAGACAGTCCCTTCCTCCACTATCTCAGATGTATAAGAATGTCAAAAATATGAGTAAATGTCCAGAATATGAAACATTAACCTAAATTTTGTTTCTACTTTAGATGCCCTATTTTTTAATAAAACAACCTACCTTCTTGGAGTATCTGAGTGTAAAGGTTGAGCATGTGCGAACCTTTGACAAGCTAACGTGTTCAAGAATGTGTGAGGGACTAGTGAGGCAAATTTGTTGCCACTGTAAATGGGGGCTAAGTAATACTTCAAAGAACCTACTCAAGTGATGTATCAATAATAACCTGTCTGTAATTTTAAGTAATGCATACTTATTTAAACAGTTACTCCTTTTATATGGCATTAAAGTTGAACAAAGAAAATCATGTGACTCTCTAGACTATTGATTTCTTGATCATGATACATTTTATTGCATCAGATATTGCCTTGAGTGGGAATTTTTTTACTTGCTAATGAATGATCTATTTAGACTAGCTAGAAATCAAAGCCAAATATAAGATTTCAGAGATCTGGCTGAAATATAAGATTTCAGAGTCATTGGTTTAATGTAACCCTAACATCAATAGCATTGACAGTTATATTTTCTACCTAGTACATGAAGTGTTGGTCACACAATCACCATTAACTGTAATTGAAGCAGTACACCTGATTCCTCCCTGAACAATGATTCTATACACATCCTTCTAAGTGGCAATATATCTTGCCTTTAACACACTTTTTATTTTAAAAGGAAAGGATAAAACCCAGAGATAAATTTTAAATAAGAGGAAAGTTTATCTTGAATTTGCAAGTTTATTGAAATTTAATATATAGAGATTATATACGCACACAGATTTATATATAGATTATATTTAATCTATATTAATATATAGAGATTATATGCATACACAGAGATTTATCTGCTTAAATGTCTAGTCAGTTTTGTATGCCATCCAAATAGGATATACATGTATTAGTATAAGTAACATGTATTTATTAATTATAAAACATTACTTTAAGAAACAAGAAACCATTTTTCCTGGTAAAAATGGCTACTTTCACATTTGCAAATTATTCATTTGTTTAGAACTGCTCTTAGGTTGGCCCTCCCTGGTGGTGCATCGGGTTAGAGCACAGCACTATGAGGCTGTCTGCAGCCTCTGCAGCACAAGTTTGATCCCCAGCCAATGAGGTGACCCACATGGCGCGGCAGACCTCTCCTGACCTGCCTGCTGCTCCCCTCAGCAGTGTATTTCAGTACATCTGCCTGTTCTGCTCCCCACTCTGTCTCTGCCGAAGCCTCCCACCACCCCTGCACCTCTGGACTGTACCCCAGTTCTGTACGCATAAATAAGTAAATCTTTAAAAAAAAATTAGAGACACATCAGCCAAATTTGTCCTCAGGCCAGTTTTTGTTTGTTGCAAGCTTAAATAAAGAATTGGAAATTTGCAAATAAAGTGTTTAGTCAAGGTATAGGGCTTCCAGCTTAGCCGCTGTATAGTTCACCTGCCTGTTCCACACGCTCACATTTCATGCCTGGTCTCTAAAGATAAAGACATCTAATTTGCAACCTATGTTACTAAGACTTAGTTTTGTTTCTTATAATCACAAGTACCCAGGAGTAATATGCAAATAGACGACAATTACAAGTAAAAATCACAATTTTTAAAAGAAGAAAAAATTAAGACCTTAGTGGTTTCCTTTTTCCCGAATCATTGTTAAACAATTACATCATTTTGTAGCAATGCTTTGTGGGAATGCAGCGTGAGCAGTTAGTTGTATATAGTTACCTGACAGGAATCAATTCCTCCTGTTTCATAGCCTGCACAGACCATGTTTTCCGTAATATTATATTCTGGCATTTGTTTTTGGCATTTTTCATTTGATACAAGAGGAACTTCAGCTTCTTGCAATTCGTCTGCAGTAGGAGCTGTTCAAAATGGAGAATGTCACCAGTCACAAATGATAAACAGGCATCATTGAATGAGCCATCATCAGTCTTATTTATTTGAACAGCTCACTCTCATTATCCAGTACTGTGTGGAACTAAATACTAGACCTTCTACTTTAAAGTACATAATAAAGCCCATCTGTGCATTTTGCCAAATGGATAACAGTAAAGCACTTCTTTAGTTCCCAAGGGCTAGTGGGAATTAGATTGGACTAGATAGTCTTTAGGCATTTTCAGTAATTTTAAACATTTACAGTTCTGCTCATGGGGGAAAATAAACTCAGCCTCACAAAGCTTTTCATTCATGGAAATTAGCAATGGCTCAGAAATCCAGAAGTGCTTTTCATTTGGCACCTGAAGAGGTGTTCCCTTCTAATGGCTTTCAGCTCTTTTGTGATGCTGTGTGAGTGAGCAGGTGCACACTCAGCAGAAGACAAAGCTCAAATGAACTGTGCCCTGGTCTAAGAGTAATCAGCTTGTCATCCACGTGCAGGTGAAGAGAAAGGAGGCATTTTGTTGCAGAATGTGCTTCCATGCTTTTTGCAAAATGATTCATCTCCTGCAAGCGTGAATCTCTGTTTATTGAAATACTAATCCCAAGAGGGATGTAAAACAAGCAGGTGTCTAGTGCTCCAGAAAAGGTACACAATAAGCACTTTCTAATAATTAGCAATTCTATTTGGTTCTTCAATAAGAGCAGAAAGTTGAGGGGAAGTCAGTATATATGATAGCTAGTAGCATTGTTGCAAAAAAAAATGTTTGCAGTCTCACTCCAGCTAAATTTTTTCCACATGCAAAAAGACTGAGGAAGCACATAAGAGAGTGTGTGTGTGATTTAGGTGCAAAGCAACATATATATGACTTAGTTGTGTGCTGGTAAATATTTAATAATGGTCAAGGAAATAGAAGCTTCCATGTATATCATTTGCAGATTTGCCTGGTATAAACAATTTGATCCAGTCAATTTCAAGGTGTGAGCATGACAGTGATGGAGAGTTGGGATGTGATGTGCGTTAAGTGACTATTGCCATCTGCTGCAAGTGACTTCTGCCACACACCACTGACTGACTTTTGAAGTTTGACAAGACAGTGGTTTTGAGGTAAGAAAGCGAACTGGAGAAGTTAATATTGAGGAGGAAATTTAGCCTCTCTCCATTGTCCAACCCCTGAAGAGCAAGGACAAGCTGAAAGATTTTAGTACTATAACATAAATCAAAGCCCATTTTCCTACTTGTTAAGGAATACAGAAATTAGCTTTGTATATGATGAAACTCTTTGGTAAAGGAAAATTTGAGTATTGGTCTTAATATTTGTCAACCGGAATTTCCATGAGGAGTCTTGAGAATATACATATAGACACAGAAAACTACATAGAGATGGCACTAAAGTTATTTTGAGTTCACCACTTGGCCTTAATTTAATAAACTAACATCACTTCATTTTTTTCAGTAGACTATATGTTCATGGTTTTCCTAATTAATTAGTTATTACAATATACACAAAAGGAAGGGGGTGGAATATTATGAAAATAAGTAGCTGGAACTCATAAGTCAAAGTCTATAAACTTTGTTAAATTTGCCATCAGCCTAAAAGTATTTAATCATGAGCAGGCTGTTTGTTCCTAAATGAGATTCACTTCAGACACAGTTTTTCCTTGGCTCCCTGTCATTCTTAAGTCTTTTGTAAGTCAATTAAAAGTATATCTTTGGTACCAATAAAAAAAATGTGAGCCATGTTTACTCACTTCTTTAAAAAACTACCCATTTCCTACAGAATAAAGAGTCTTAAATTTTGTTAGTGGATAATTTGTTTTTGAAGAGTCTGCATTATGGTCATTAATGTCTTTTAGTTTGAAATCTGGTCAAGAAAATATGTATCTAGGAAACATTTTTTACTCTTTAGATTGCAAATCTAATGAATCATGACATTTTTCATATGGAGGAAATAAAAGAATAGACTGTCAGACTTCAATGGACATCGCTTTATGGAAAGCAGCCATGAGGAATTTTTAGCAACAATCTGTCTGTGTAGAATCTTTGTCAACATCATCAGGCAAGGATTTGACTTAGAACTTGATAGTTTTTTTAAAAAAAACCAAAAGAATTGAAGGGGGAACGCCTTGCCTCCGGGAACCGCAAATCCTAACAAACCTCCGGGCCCTTTTATTCCAAATTTTTTTTTCTTTTCTTTTCTTTTATGATTTACTTTGTTACTGTGTTGTTAATTTTTGGACAGTATTTGATTTCTCCCCTGGAAGTGTATTTCCTCCTACCACCCTAGAACAGGGCATCCATTCTGTGCCCTTTCATCTTAAATGCGATTAAGAATTATAAACACTATGGCAGTCATCTGTGGTGACTCTAGGGCCAGGTTCCCCAGCACATAACAGTGCCTTTACTTTTTGGTTAAAATTAAAGAGTGGTCAGACCCCTGACCTACACAATAGCTGCTCCTAGAAATGCTTACCTTCTAAAGGTAAGTAAGCATAGTTACCTTGGGAAGGTAAGAAGTACTGTAATTTTTTTTTTTAAACATTTTTAAAGTCTTGCTATCCAGACAACATGAATGCTCAGTGAAATTAGAAAGAGAAAGACAAATACTGAATGGTGTCCCTTATAGGTGGGCCATGGAGAAAGCTAAAAAAGCTCCTCCCTAGCGGTGTAAGGGGTCAAGTCTCAGCACTACGAAGCTCTCTGCAGCTGCTTCAGTGCTAGTTCAGTGCCTGGCCAGGGAGGTGACACAGCTGGTACAGCAGACCTCTCTGTTTTGCCCGCTGCTCCCCTCAGCAGTAGATCTGCGTGTTCTGCTCCATTCTGTCTCCGGTGAATCCTCTCAACCCTTCCCCTTGGCCTATACTCCAGTTCTTATAGGCATACATAAATAAATATGTTTTAAAAGGGGGTCAGAAAGTGAAACTAAAAAATTAACCCTTGAAAGTTTATTCCAGAAGGCATGCAGCCAGAGGAGGAGGGGAGGGCTACAAGGGGATATGGAGGGGTTGTCGGTGCTCTGGAAGTGGGAATGCAGACAACAGCATCTGAAGGCGGTGATCCAACACTTCTGAACTGCAAACTATGAGGCGAATCCATGTTAAGTCAATTAAAAAAAAACACTAATTAAAAATGCTTGGCTAGTTTTAATACGCAGCCCCTGTTTTTAGAAAATGTGATGTTAAATAATGCAAATGAACAATGGTGTATCAATTTATTCTCTTCAGTGTAAGATTTGTGCTGTGTCTGGGTTTTCTCTTCAGGAGTCAGAATCAGCATGCTGAAGCTCCAGGAATTCCTCTCTCAATTTACGGAATATGAGTTTAAGGTTGTGACAAGAGATATAAAAGGTTTTTTGATTTAGGGTCTGTAGTAGATAATAATTTGGCCTTTGATGAGACTTTATGCATTTGTTTTGTAAATAAATAAACTCCTATAACATTTAATTATATTTTTGAATAGATGATTTTTTTCTTTTATCAGTGTTTATAATACCAAAATTAGATATCAAATTAAGTATCAAAGCTCCAAAGCATATAATTTCATAATATGCTCTATACAATTTAGAAAAAATGTTTTAACTGTGGATATTTAACATATGCATCTAAGTCTGTCAGTACTTTAAAGAAATATCGCAAAAAGGCATTATGAATGAATCAAAAAATGTCAGATACACTCACAGCGTAGCGCCACAGATGCATTTACTACTAAGCACTGAACTTTCAGAGTCTGACAATTTACCTTGAGAGTAAAGTCTCCCCCAGCCAGCAATAAAGCAGTTCTTTCCTACAGGAAAAACTTGACTTTCTTCTGGTAAACAAATAGGTTGTATGTAATCTGGAAAAACAAAAGTTAAAACTCTTACACGTGTTATTGCTAACGAATGAAAAACCAATCACTTTCCATATCCAACTAAAAAGCTTACATTTTGGTCCTCCCAAATGGTGCAAGGGGTTAAAACACTGCACAAGGAAGCTATCTTGAGCCACTGCCACATGAGTTCGAACCCCAGCCAGGGAGGGGATCCACATGACACAGCAGACCTCGCCTGTCTCACCCACTGCTCCCCGCAGCAGTGTACTTCAACGATCTACCTGCTCTCCATTCTGTCTCTGGAGAATCCTCTCTCACACACAACACCCCTCCCCCCACCCTGGCCTGAATCCCGGTTCTTATAAGCATAAATAAATATACTTTAACAAAACAAAAAAAGCTTACATATTTGTTTTATCCTGCCCGAACATTTTCTTGACCCGGGACTTAGGGGAAAGAAGCATTTTAGAGCAGCACTCTTTAAAAATGAATTAGGGACCACGGTGGTATTTAATATTGTCTCCTGGTTACTCTTTTATAATATAAACACAGTTTTAATTCTGGAGTTAAACAGTTTATATTTGGTTAAAAAAAATGATGGTACCCAACAGAAAGTAGTACCAGTTCTGTGAACAATAAATCTATTTTTTGAAAATCAGTTAGTGAAACTTGGGGAAATATTCTCAATTATTTTGATTTTCCTCAGTTATATCTACTTTTACAAAAACGTTTCTGTGCTTGCTGTACAGGGTCCTTGGGAGAGCATGAGCCTTGGTCACTGGCTGTTAAAACCCTTCAAAACTTACCAGTATCTGACATGCAGAGGATGGAAGACCCAGGCCAAGAATGATGAGAAATAATCGAAGGCAGAGCTTATCGTCAAGGACAAGGGTCTCACAGTAACTATAGTCATTGTCTGCCTTTGACAAATTCAGTAATACTTGCTTAGCTCAGATTCCAGGGGGGCACAGAGAAAGCAGCTCTCTGTTCTCACTGGAGACTGGAGCTTTGGGTCAACGTGGGATTGCCCAGGGCTCTGAGGGTAGTGCGCTCCCTCAGGTGATTTCCTGCACACCTAGGTCTAGAGAGGGAGTCTCCAATCTGCCTCACGCTTCACATTGAAACTCATTTTAAAATCCCTTCTTAGAACATATGCTGCTGTTTCAGCTTGTCCTGAGCAGGTCACATGGCCCCGCCTTCTTTTTACTTGAGAAATAGGATGTGCATTACCAGGCGGACGATTCTCTCCCAACTGCTCTGTTCAGTTTACTGCTCAGAGGGCTCTGAGTTTTATTCTTCTGATCAACTTTCTAGAAAATTGGATTTAAACACCTCAGTGAAGGTAATTGAGTATGTTTCTCTCCATTCCCCATTTTCATTTAAATTATAATGATTTCTATAACGAATTATTCAACTCTTATGGACCGTTAATATATTCATGCTTGTACTATTTTAAATATAATGCTGAATTAATTTTGGCAGATAAGAGGGATCAAAGTGACTTACCTGTGTAGTTCACTTTAAATTCAAGGTGCATCATGGCAATGTCACTGTCCTTAGTGCGTTTATTATAATGTGGGTTGATGATAATTTGGTCTATCAATCTTGTTTGGATATGAGGAGAACTCAGGTTTGATGCTATATGCAGGCCCAGTATTGCTTTCCACGGTGCTGACTGTTCATTTCTCCTGAGATGGTGAGAATGAAGTGTAAGAAAGTCTATCCACCATGGTTACTTTCTAATCTTTGGCATTGGTATTTCAGAACTATGTGTTCGATTCTTAAAATATACTGGAAGGTCACTGCCTAATTGATCTTTAAAAATATTTCTATAATTTTTATCTTTCTGATCACATAAAAAGCCTTAATCAGTCTTTATCTTTTTCTCTTCCATAATCTTCTAGATTCTGGTTCTTAACTTGGCTTTTACATTTGAGTTACATTGTTTAATTAAACAAAATATTTTAATTTTAATGTTAAGGATATAATTTCTCTCTTCCATATATGCACAAATTCCCCTCACCTTCTACCAAAACATTCAAGTCAAGACCCTGTTTGTCTCCCTCCCCTGTCCACTTCATCCTCTCCCGTCTTCCCTCTGGTAGCTATTAAATTCTTTCATTAAGGCCAAGATTTATTCCTGTTTTATTTCACTAGTATATATTTTTTATTATTTATAGTCCACAGATGACTGAAATCATCCGATATAATTGTCTTTCACTTTTGGACTTGTTTCACTTAACACAATCGCTCTGAGTTTCATTCACTTTGTCCCAAATGCTACCATCTCCTCACCTATTTTAACTTATTTGTAGTATTCCATTGAGAGTCTATTCCACAATTTCTTTATCAATTTGTCTGTTGGCAAATAGGTTGATTTCTTGACTTGGCAATTGTGGACAGTGGTGTTATGAATATAGGCAAATCAAACTTAGTCCTATTAGCATTTTCATATTTTTAGGATAAATTCATAGTAGAGGTGTGCTGAATCACATGGAATTTCCATTTTTATTTTCTTGAAAAATCTCAGTGACCTTTTCTTAAGAAGCAGCACCAATTTCCAATCGCACAAACAGTGGATGAGTTTCCTTTTTACCACATCCTCACCAATAGCTTCTGTTTCCATTCTTTTGGTATGGGCAATTTCCCACAGGTGTAAGGTGACATTTCATTGTGGTTTTGATTAGCAGTTCCCTTACAACTAGTGATGCTGAAGAGTGTTCCAGATGTCTGTGGATCATTTGAATGTCATCTTTAGAAAAGTGTCTATTTAGGTCCTTTGACGATTGTTTGATTTGGTGGTCTGTTTTTTGTTTTTATTGCCAGATCATCTACAAGATTTATATATTTTGGAAATTAGTCCGTTGTCATGTGTGCAATTATTTTTCCTATTCTGTTGGTTGTGCTTTTATGCCTTGTGATCTTTCCCTTGTACCCAGATCTTTAATCCATTTTTTGGGGGGTTGTTATGGAATTCAGTATAGATTTAGGTTTTTTTTTTTTTTTTTGCATGTTGACTGTCCATGTTTTGCAACACAATTTGTTAAAGAGGCTTTCTTTTGTCCATTTATGGCCATAGAACCTCTGTCAAGGACTACCTGCCCTAATTGTGAGTGTTTATCTCTGTCTGTTCCATTCCATGGGTCTGTTTCTATTTTGTTCCTGTGCCTTTCAGTTTGGTTACTGTTGCTCTGTCTTATAGTGTGAAGTCAGGAAGTTTGATATTTCCATTTTTCTTCTCTCAAGGTTGCTTGGAGTGCTTTGTAGTAACATGTAAATTTTATAATTGTTATTCAATTTCCTTGAAAAAAGTTGTTGAGACTTTGATAGGCTTTGCATTTTCCTTCTCTAGGTTAGAGTAGAACATCAGTCGAATGGGACCTACTGATAATTTCAAATATTCTAAACACACTGTATTCTTGCCCATCTTGACCTTTTCCAGGAAAAGGGAAACACTGAAGTCTGTTCCCTGGTGTCCTATCCATGAACTACTTTTTCTACTATATGTTATGTGTGCTTCCTAAAGTTAAGTTATTCATGGTTGTCACTTGATAGGTAGTTACTCATTTTTAAGAATTGTATTTTTTATTCAACATTCAGTTTACTTATTAACTCAATATTTATAAAATATCTTTCCTACTTTAAATTTAAATATATTTATTTACATGTTATAGTTTGCAATAATTACTTTGTTTATAAAACCAGTGTATCATGGGCCCTCCCTGGTGGCACAGTGGGTTAAGACACAGCACTGCAAGCCAGCTGCAGCGGCTTCAGTGCAAGTTCGATCCCTGGCCTCGGAGGTGACTCACATGGCCTGGCAGACCTCTCCTGTCTAACCCGCTATTCCCCTGAGCAGTGTACTTCGTCAATCTGCCTACTCTGCTCCCCACTCTGTCTCTGGTGTATCCTTTCACTGCCTCTGCACCTCTGGCCTGTACTGCAGTTCTGTATGCTTAAATAAATCTTTAAAAAAAAAAAAAAAAAAGCAATGTATAGACCCTTCCTGGTGGCACAACGTGTTAGGACCCAGCACAGCATGCTAGCTATAGCTGCTTCAATGTGAATTCGAGACCCAGCCGGGAGGTGATCCACATGGCACTGCAGAACTCTCCTGGTCTGCCCACTGCTCCCTTCAGCAGTATACTTCCTCAATCTGCCTGTTCTGCTCCCCACTTTGTCTCTTGTGAACCCTCTCCCTGCCCCTGCATCTCTGGCCTGTACGTAAGTTCTGTATGCATGAATGCATAAGTAAATAAATAAATCTTTAAAAAAAGTTACTTTCTTTAAAAAAATGTATCACATCAACATTTCTACATTAGTATTACTTATATACAAATTATCTATATAACCATTATTATTTCAATGGTATAACATTTAAGTAATAACTTAAAATTTTCTCAAAAGGAATATGTTTCTATTATATACCTTTTATATTTGGGATAAGAAGGCATATTTAATTATCAAAATAAGGTTGTCTCCTTAATTTCTTTCTATATATTTTATCTTCAGAAAAATATCCCATGGAAATTCAGAGTGATATGGATAGTTACTTGCTTTGGATTTAAATCAGTGGTAAAGAATGCAGTTTAGAAAGTAGCCAAACTCCCAATTTCTTATCTCTTTTGTAAGTACTGTTTTACATCTGCACTATAAATATAATTACTGATATGGGAGTGTTTGTAGGGAACAAAGATTAGTAATCACCACTTATCTCACTGTTTTAGGGTTTTGAGTGGAAAACCAATACATAAATCACAAGTTATGAAGATTAATATACATGCTTTAAGCTACTCTTTTAATTAAATACAACTTTTGCAATATTACTCTCACGCATCCTTAATTATTTTCCAAATTGTTTTTGTGCTTCATAGAAAACTCCTTTTGTGTATTTTTATTTCTTCTGTGTCTATTAGTAATACTATGGAAAGGAAATACACTTCAACATAGATCATTATATTTCCTTCTTCAGCCCTGTTCTGCAAACCTTGCTGTGTCTGTTAGAGTAACTTCCCCAACACCAGTACAAAACATTTCTAGAACATTTACACCCATGGCATTTTAGTACTTTCTCTCAGAAGGAAAAGACTTGAGACTAGAGAGGTAATGTTATTCAAGATAGCAAATTAATCCTCAAAGTAGGGGTAACTTCAGAGATCTGAGAGAGGAACTTCTGGGAGATAAATAATTTTAATGAAATACTTGTGAATAATAAATATTCTATTTAAATTAATGCTGATAGGACAGTGTCAAGGAAATGGCTTATATACTAGGGCCAAGGGAGAGGAAAGGAATATATAATTTGGAGGCTCTGATCTCAGATTGGAAACTGATAAAACTTAAGCCTAAAAATTTTAGCAATATACTGAGATAATTTTAACTATCAAAAGTATGCCTAGAAGCTCAAACTTGAAATAACTTAAAAAAAGAACCAACATCTTTTCTGCAACCAAAAACTGTTAAGTCACTAACCTAATCTTGAAATCTAATAACCTGAGAAAATTCCCTTCTTTTTGATCTGCTAATATTACTATAATCTTGATCTGCACAGATTATTATAATCTTGAACAGGTAGTATAGTATTTCTGAGTCCTGAATAAGATAATATATTATTAGTGTAACCTCTGAAAGCAATAAGAGTCAGAGAGAGAAGTGAATTAAGCCCACAATGCTTATATTTTAAAAGAAGGTTTAAGTGCACATTAAATAATTTTATAGTAACATCGTGTGTATATTGTATTCTACTCCTATTTAAAGTGTTTGAAACATTCAAACAAACTCAAATTTTGAATTTTAGTAAAAGCATCAATTAATGAATACTATTTTATCAGCAATGCTTAATGTTTAAAATTCTGTTTCAAAGTTTCAATAGTCTTACTAGTTCATTTAATTTAGCTCTAAAGTAAATAGTATTGTCCATTTCTTGCTACACCTCAAACACATCATATATAAAATCATCTGTTTCAAGATTGTTAGCATTCATTATTAATCACTTCAACAAGGAGAAAATTCATATGATACATTTGCTCTTCTCTAAGTGTTCAATTAAAGGTAGACGATTAAGACAAGAGACCTCTCTGTGTATTATTTGACCATTGATGTATTTCTATTTAATAAATGTGCTCTAGACTGTAAATCTATATAGGACTGCTCATTCAAGTGACTAGTGTTCTTTTTCTGGAAGCTCGGATGATTGACTTGGAAATAGTATATAACTTTCTAGGTAATGGAAATGTTTTGTGTTTTGATAGGGATTTAGTTTACTTGGGTGAATGCATTTAAAAACTCTTCAAATTCTGCACTTAAGATTGTGTATTTTGCTATATGTCAGATGGGAACAAATGGAAACAAATACTGAACTCTTGCTGGGCAAGCTGACTTACACAGTGGTCTGGGGTAGCAATTTTCAAACTCCATTTTGTGTTTGAAGTTTGAGCAAATACATATTTTGTGGACAGTCAGAGCAAGGTAGCTATTATTGGAAATAACATTTACAAATATATAAAGGTATACACCTAGAATGTACCCTATGGTACTTTGAGTCAGAGCTGTCATTCGGAGTTCCTATTTATATCCATATAGCCACGTGCACTGAGAAGACACATTGGCAGTGGCAGTGAGCGTGATGCTGTTTTTATCACATTTTGTATGCTTTATATGATTCATAGCAGGCAAAAATAGCGCAGCATCTTAATTTCATCTTGACAGTCACCTTAGTAGGTAGATTTATTTATGTAAATTGAAACTACATACTAAGTCACTAGTCTATAATTGCATAGGAGGTCAGTAATGTTGACAGGCTCAAAGTCCTCTCCTGTGATTCAAAGTGAACCTTGACCTTCAAGTCACAGCAAAGTTGGCCAGTACTTTCTATATCTCTTTTTATGGTTATAAAAGAAGAGAAGTTGATGCTTGAGATCTAGATCAGGTATACAGAGGTTTTAGGTCATCTAGGAACAATGAAGCTGAGGAATGGGAAAAGCAGTCAAACAAGAATATAGACACAGAAGAATTATGCAATTAAACTACTAAACCACATGCAGGTTAAAATACCTGGAAAAAATTTACACTGAAGATAAGTCATTTATGTATGATTTCAATAACATGCTTGATCTGGATTCTTTTATAGGAAATTAAGATTTTTTTAAAAAAATTATTTATTTATGCATACAGAACTAGGGTACAGGCCAGAGATGCAGGGGCGGTGAGAGGATTCACTGGAGACAGAGTGGGGAGCAGAACAGGAAGATAGACGAAGTACACTGCTGAGGGGAGCAGCGGGCAGGTCAGGAGAGGTCTGCTGCACCATATGGGTCACCCCTGGAGCAGGGATCAAACTCATGCTGAAGTGGCTTTAGCTTCTTAGAGCTGTGCTCTAACCCACTGTGCCAGCAGGGAGGGCCCGGAAATTAAGATTTTTTTTACTGATGAAAGGATTTTAAAAGTCAACGACCAATATTACTTATATTAGTAAGATACATATTTTGATGAAACTAAAATAATATAAAAAACTTTCTTGCTTGGTTAGAGACATGAAGTGGACAGGACGTACACTTGGTAACTGGAGAAAGAAATAAAGCCCTTTAGTGCCTAAGGGGAGAATAAAGTGCAAGGTTGATGAGGATGTTATAATTTATCACAACTCAGTTCTAAGTTACATTGGTTGTGTTCAAATTGAACTTGTGGAAAAATGACCTTTTAAGGCCTCTATGACTGTACATGTGTTTGTAATCGAGGAAACTGCTTTTCTAATCCCTTTATATATTTGTCGCTTGAAAAACATTGGTACCACTGACCTACAAAAAGTCCACCTGTAAGGTGGATAATTGAAAGATGCCATTAGTATAACTGCAGGCCTGGTTAACATTTAGAAAGCCTACAGTGAGCGTGATCTTAAACAGATGAACTGATCAAATCTCAAGTTAATACGAAACATTTCAACTAACATCAGCCTAGGTGCAACAGAAAGCAATTATTAACTAAAAATACATTTTACCTACAAGTTAGGATATAGCAGCTCACCTGTGGCATGCCCAGGCACAGGGTTTATATAGGTAAAGGTTCAAGCCATGTTTAGAAGGAAATGAACTACTAACATTTGTTATGTTATGGTTGAAAGCAGATTAACGTATTATCAGGAGGAAGCAAAATAAAAAAGTGGCTGTTAGATGTGAAGAGCTGTTCAGCCACCCAGAGTGGAATTGGGGGGTGAGATTGAGAGTAATCAGTTCCTTCGGAGGCCAGGTAATTGACGGACATGGTTCCTAGAATTGTGAGTTGAAGCTTACCCTCACTCTGGCACAATGGTATTAACGTGTAAACTCAACCCTTTAATATTTATTCTCTCAGCCTTCTGTATCTCCATTTCACAAGTTTCTGTGTCTGTGTCTCCATCTGTAACAGGATGGTCCCTAGGAAAAGGGGAAGTTCCAGGTTCCCTGCCCCACCCAGAAGGAGGGTGGAGCTGAGCAGAGAAAAAGGAGAGAAGAGAAGAGAGAAGAAAGGAAGGAAGCGGGATGG